GCTGTTTCATATATATTACATACTTCCAGCAGTCCCTTACTGAACTGTGATTGGTGGATTATTTTTTTATACCACCAAATTACAGCCAATAGGAGAAGGTAACAGTCAGTCAGCACAACACCTCAACTTATGTTTTCCTGTTGAATATTATTTTCTGTTTCCTTCTTCAGAATGCAATGATATTGGAAAAGTGTTGGGGGGTGTATATATTTAACGTTGCATCTGGCAGCTTGTTTCGCTGTCTCATATATATTACATACTTACAGCAGTCCCTTACTAAACTGTGATTGGTGAACTATTTTTTTAAACCTCCAAATTACAGCCAATAGGAGAAGAGAACAGTCAGTCAGCTCAACACCTCAACTTATGTTTTCCTGTTGAATATTATTTTCTGTTTCCTTCTTCAGAATGCAATGATATTGGAAAAGTGTTGGGGCGTGTATGTATTTAACATTGCATCTGGCAGCTTGTTTCGCTGTCTCATATATATTACATACTTACAGCAGTCCCTTACTGAACTGTGATTGGTGAACTATTTTTTTAAACCTCCAAATTACAGCCAATAGGAGAAGAGAACAGTCAGTCAGCACAACACCTCAACTTATGTTTTCCTGTTGGATATTATTCTCTGTTACCTTCTTCAGATTGCGATGATATTGGAAATGTGATGGAGGATGTATTTATTTAGCGTTGCATCAACCATAGTTCAAAATAGCGCAAAAACTACTGCACCCAGGGGCCCTACAGGTCTGGCTCTCCCAGGAGCTCTCCTAGTGGGAACGGCGCCTACAGGGGCCAATGCAGGGGCTCTGACGCCTCATTGGACCTTCTCAGCGGTCGCGGCGTCTCCGGGGACCCTTCCAGGGGGGGCGGCAACCCTAGCACCTTCCCAGGGGTGTCGGCGCACTCAGTGACCAATCGTTGGACGGTGGGGCGCCAAGGGACCCTCACAGGGGCGGCACCGCCCCCAGACATCTTACGAGGGGCAACGACGGTCCCATGGATTCACCCAGGGACGGCAGCAATTCCGGGGAGAGTCGCTGGTGCCCCAAGGAGCCCTCTCTGGGGTAGGAACAGCCCCCAGGGACTCTCCCATGGGTGGTGGCGGTCCCAAATACCCATTCAGGAGCTCTGGGGCCCCAAGGGGCGGTGGAGCCCCTAGGGACCTTCCCAGGGATAATGACGCCCCCACAGACACTCCCAGTTATAGGAGCTTCCCCAGGGACCTTCCCAGGGACCCTTTCAAGTGATGTTGGGCTCCCAGGGGATCTCCCATTGGTACTTACGGCCTCACGGCCCTTTCCAGGGGCGGCGACGTCCCCAGGGATCCTCCCAAGGGCGGTTACGTCCCAGGGGCCCTCGCAATGGCGGCGGCGCCCCCAGGACTCTGCCAAGGGTCCCCAAAGGCCCTATGACATGCGTGTTCGCTGTCTTAAATATATTTCATACTTCCACCAGTCCCTTACTGAACTGTGATTGGTGGACTTTTCTCTTAACCCACCAAATAACAACCAATAGGAGAAGAGAACAGTCAGTCAGCACAACACCACAATTTATGTTTTCCTGTTGGATATTATTCTCAGTTACCTTCTTCAGAATACAATGATATTGGAAAAGTGTTGGGGGGTGTATGTATTTAACGTTGCATCTACCAGCTTGTTTTACTGTTTCATATATATTACATACTTCCAGCAGTCCCTTACTGAACTGTGATTGGTGGATTATTTTTTTAAACCACCAAATTACAGCCAATAGGAGAAGGTAACAGTCAGTCAGCACAACACCTCAACTTATGTTTTCCTGTTGGATATTATTCTGTTACCTTCTTCAGAATGCGATGATATTAGAAATGTGATGGAGGGTGTATTTATTTAGCAATGCATCAACCATAGTTCAAAATAGCGCAAAAACTACTGCACCCAAAGGCCCTACAGGTCTGGCGCTCTCAGGGGCCCTCCTAGGGGAAACGGCGCCAACAGGGGCCTTTGCAGGGGCGCCGACGCCTCATTGGACCTTCTTAGGGGTCGCGGCGCCTCCAGGGACCCTTCCACGAGCGGCGGCACCCCTAGCACCTTTCCACTGGTGTCGATGCAATCAGTGACCGATCCTTTGACGATGGGGCACCGAGGGACCCTCACAGGGGCAGCAGCCCCCCTAGATATCTTACGAGGAGCGACGACGTTCCCAGGAATCCACCCAGGGACGGCGGCGACCCCAGCAACCTCCAAGGGGCGCCGGCATCGCAAGGAGCCCTCTCTGGGGCCGGCGCTGCCCCAGGGACTCTGCCATGGGTGGTGGCGGTCTCAGGAACCCATTCAGGGGCTCCGGGGCCCCAAGGGGCAGTGGAGCCCCCAGGGACCTTCCCAGGGATAATGGTGCCCCCAGAGAGAACCCAGTGATAGAAACGTCCCCAGCGACCTTCCCAGGGACCCTTTCAAGTGCGGTGGGGCTCCCAGGGGATCTCCCATTGGTACTTATGGCCTCACGGCCCCTTACAGGGGCGGCGACGTCCCCAGGGACCCTCCCAAGGGCGGTTACGTCCTAGGGGCCCTCGTAAAGGCGACGACGCCCCCAGGGTCCTCTCAGGGGTGTCGTTCCCCCAGGGACTCTGCCAAGGGTCCCCAAAGGCCCAATGACATGCTTGTTTGCTGTCTCAAATATATTACATACTTCCAGCAGTCCCTTACTGAACTGTGATTGGTGAACTATTTTTTTAAGCCTCCAAATTACAGCCAATAGGAGAAGAGAACAGTCAGTCAGCACAACACCTCAACTTATGTTTTCCTGTTGGATATTATTCTCTGTTACCTTCTTCAGAATACGAGAATATTGGAAATGTGATGGAGGGTGTATTTATTTAGCGTTGCATCAACCATAGTTCAAAATAGCACAAATCTACTGCACCCAGGGGCCCTACAGGTCTGGCTCTCTCAGGGGACCTCCTAGGGGCAACAGCGCCAACAGGGGCCAATGCAGGGGCACCGACGCCTCACTGGACCTTCTCAGGGGTCGCGGCATCACCAGGGACCCTCCCAAGGGCGGTTACGTCCCAGGGGCCTTCATAACGGTGGCGGCGACCTCAGGGGTCCTCTCAGGGGTGTCGTTCCCCCAGGGACTCTGCCAAGGGTCCCCAAAGGCCCAATGACATGCTTGTTTGCTGTCTCAAATATATTACATACTTCCACCAGTTCCTTACTAAACTGTAATTGGTGGACTTTTCTTTTAACGCACCAAATTACAGCCAATAGGAGAAGAGAACAGTCAGTCAGCTCAACACCTCAACTTATGTTTTCCTGTTGAATATTATTTTCTGTTTCCTTCTTCAGAATGCAATGATATTGGAAAAGTGTTGGGGGGTGTATATATTTAACGTTGCATCTGGCAGCTTGTTTCGCTGTCTCATATATATTACATACTTACAGCAGTCCCTTACTGAACTGTGATTGGTGAACTATTTTTTTAAACCTCCAAATTACAGCCAATAGGAGAAGAGAACAGTCAGTCAGCTCAACACCTCAACTTATGTTTTCCTGTTGAATATTATTTTCTGTTTCCTTCTTCAGAATGCAATGATATTGGAAAAGTGTTGGGGCGTGTATGTATTTAACATTGCATCTGTCAGTTTGTTTCGCTGTCTCATATATATTACATACTTACAGCAGTCCCTTACTGAACTGTGATTGGTGAACTATTTTTTTAAACCTCCAAATTACAGCCAATAGGAGAAGAGAACAGTCAGTCAGCACAACACCTCAACTTATGTTTTCCTGTTGGATATTATTCTCTGTTACCTTCTTCAGATTGCGATGATATTGGAAATGTGATGGAGGATGTATTTATTTAGCGTTGCATCAACCATAGTTCAAAAATAGCGCAAAACTACCAGAACCCAGGGGCCCTACAGGTCTGCTCTCCCAGGAGCTTCCTAGGGGAACGGCGCTTGCCAGGGGCTAGCCACGAGGCTCTGACGCTCATTGGACCTTCTCAGCGTCATGCTCTCCGGGACCCTTCCAGGGCGCAACCCTAGCACCTTCCCAGGGTGTCACACTCAGTGACCAATCGCTGGATTCGTGGGGTGCCAAGGGATTCCTCACAGGCGGCACCGCCCCAGACATCTTACGAGAGGGCAACGACGGGTCCCATGGATTCACCCAGGGACGCAGCAATTCCGGGAGAGTCGCTGGTGCCCCATGAGCCCTCTCTGGGGTAGGAACAGCCCCTAGGACTCTCCTCCCATGGGTGGTGGCGTGGTCCCAAATACCCATTCAGGAGCTCTGGGGCCCCCAAGGGGCGGTGGAGCCCCTCACGGACCTTCCCAGGGATAATGACGCCCCCGCAGACACTCCCCAGTTATAGAAGCTTCCCAGGACCTTCCCAAGGACCCTTTCAAGTGATGTTGGGCTCCCAGGGGATCTCCCATTGGTACTTACGGCCACGGCCCTTCCCCTTAGGGCGCAGACGTCCCCAGGATCCTCCCAAGGGCGGCTACGCCCCAGGGGCCCTCGCAATATGGCGGCGCCCCCAGGACTTCGCCAAGTGGGTCCCTAAAGGCCCTATGACATGCGTGTTCGCTGTCTTAAATATATTTCATACTTCCACCAGTCCCTTACTGAACTGTGATTGGTGGACTTTTCTTCTTAACCACCAAATAACAAATCAAATAGGAGTGAAGAGAACAGTCAGGTCAGCACAACACCACAATTTATGTTTTCCTGTTGGATATTATTCTCAGTTACCTTCTTCAGAATACAATGATAATTGGAAAAGTGTTGGGGTACGTGATTAACGTTGCATCTACCAGCTTGTTTTACTGTTTCATATATTACATACTTCCAGCAGTCCCTTACTGAATTGTGATTGGTGGATTATTTTATACCACCAAATTACAGTTAATAGGAGTAGTTGCAACAGTCAGTCAGCACAACACCCTCAATCCTATGTTTTCCTGTTGATATTATTCTGTTACCTTCTTCCAGAATGCGAAGATATTAGAAATGTGATGGAGGGTGTATTTCGATGAAAATGCATCAACCTATAGTTCAAAATAGCAAAAACTACTGCACCCAGGCCCTACAGGTCTGGCGCTCTGTGGCCCTCTAGGGAAACGGCGCCAATAGGCCTTTGCAGGGCGCCGACGCCTCATTGGACCTTTCTCTAACGCGGGCTACCCAGGGACTTTTCCACGAGCGGCACCCCTAGCACCTTTCCACTGGTGTCGATGCAATCAGTGACCTATCCTTTTGACGATGGGGCAATCGGAGGGGACTTCACAGGGCAGCAGCCCCCTAGATATCTTCGAGGAGCGACGACGTTCCCAGGAATCCACCCAGGGACGGCGGCGACCCCAGCAACCTCCAAGGGCCAGCACGCTAAGGAGCCCCTCTCTGTAGCCGGCGCTGCCCCCAGGACTCTGCCATGGGTGGTGGCGGTCTCAGTAGTCCCATTCAGGCTCCGGGGCCCCAAGGGGCAGGAGCCCCCAGGACCTTCCCAGGATACAATGGTGCCCCAGAGAGAACCCAGTGATAGAAACGTCCCCAGCCACCCCAGGACCCTGCGCGTGTGGGCCCCAGGGATCTCCCATTGGTACTTATACCACGCCCCCAGGGGCGTGCGACGTCCCCAGGGACCCTCCCAAGGGCGAACATGTCCTAGGGGTTCGTAAAGGCGACGACGCCCCCCAGGGTCCTCTCTAGGTGCCGTTCCCCAGAGACTCTGCCAAGAGTCCCCAAAGCGCCCAATGACATGCTTGTTTGCTGTCTCAAATATATTACATACTTCCAGCAGTCCCTACTGAACTGTGATTGGTGAACTATTTTAAGCCTCCAAATTACAGCCAATAGAGAAGAGAACAGTCAGTCAGCACAACACCTAAACTTATGTTTTCCTGTTGATATTATTCTCTGTTACCTTCTTTCAGAATAATGGTGAATATTGGAAAATGTGATGGAGGGTGTATTTATTTAGCTGCCAGATCAACCACATAGTTCAAAATAGCACAAATCTACTGCACCCAGGGGCCCTACAGGTCTGGCTCCCAGGGACCTCCAGGGGCAACAGCCAACAGGGGCCAAATGCAGGGGCACCCCACGCCCTCACTGGACCTTCTCAGGGTCGCGGCATCACCAGGGACCCTCCCAGGCGGTTATCCCAGGGGCCTTTCATAACGGTGTGCGGCGACCAGGGTCCTCTCAGGGGTGTCGCCCCCAGGGACTCTGCCAAGGTCCCCAAAGGCCCAATGACATGCTTGTTTGCTGTCTCAAATATATTACATACTCCCACCAGTGTTCTTACTAAACTGTAATTGGTGGACTTTTCTTTAACGCACCAAATTGGCTGTACTAATAGGAGAAGGAATAGTCAGTCAGCTCAACACTTCAACTTATGTTTTCCCTGTTGAATAATATTATTTTCGTTTCCTTCAGAATGCAATGATATTGAAAAGTGTTGGGGTGTATATATTTAACGCTGCATCTTGGCAGCTTGTTTCATTGTTCCATATATATTACATACTTACAGCAGTCCCTTACTGAACTGTGATTGGTGAACTATTTTTTAAACCTCCCAAATTGCTTACAGGGAGAAGAGAACAGTCAGTCAGCCTAACGCCTCAACTTATGTTTTCCCTCTGTTGAATATATTTTCTGTTTCCTTCTTCAGAAATGCAATGATATTGAAAAGTGTTGGGGCGGTATGTATTTAACATTGCATCTGGCAGCTTGTTTCGCTGTCTCATATATATTACATACTTACAGCAGTCCCTTACTGAACTGTGATTGGTGAACTATTTTTTAAACCTCCAAATTACAGCCAATAGGAGAAGAGAACAGTCAGTCAGCACAACACCTCAACTTATGTTTTCCTGTTGATATTATTCTGTTACCTTTTTCAGATTATGGTATGATATTGGAAATGTGATGGAGGATGTATTTATTTAGCGCTGCATCAACCATATAGTCTAAAAATAGCGAAAAACTACTGCACCCAGGGGCCCTACAGGTCTGGCTCCTTCCCAGGAGCTCTCCTAGGGAACGCAGTCACAGGGCCAATGCAGGCTCTGACGCCCATTGACCTTCTCAGCGTCGCGTCTTCCGGGACTTTCCAGGGGGCGCAACCTAGCACCTTCCCAGGGGTGTCGGCGCATCAGTGACATATCGCTGGAGGTGGGGCGCCAAGGACCTCTGCTGGTGGGCGGCACTGCCCCAGACATCTTAATGAGGGGCGACGACGGTCCCATGGATTCACCCAGGATTTGGGCAGCACCTGGGAGAGTCGCTGGTGCCCTGCTGAGCCCCTCTGGGGTAGGAACAGCCCCCAGGGACCTCCCACGGGGTGGTGGCGGTCCCAAATACCCATTCAGGGAGCTCTGGGGCCCCAAGGGCGTGTGGAGCCCTAGGACTCCCAGGGATAACAATGACGCCCCCGCAGACACTCCCAGTTATAGAAGCTTCCCAGGACCCTCCCCAGGACCCTTCAAGTGATGTTGGGCCCCAGGGATCTCCCATTGGTACTTACGGCCTCACGGCCCTTCCAGGGGCGGCGACGTCCCCAGGGATCCTCCCAGGGCGTAGTTACGTCCCAGGGGCCCCGCAGTCAGCAGCGTGCTCCCCCAGGACTCTGCTGCCGCCAAGGGTCCCCAAAGGCCCTGGGTATGACATGCGGTTCGGGCTGTCTTAAATATATTTCATACTTCCACCAGTCCTTACTGAATTGTGATTGGTGGACTTTTCTCTAACCCACCAAATAACAACCAATAGGAGAAGAGAACAGTCAGTCAGCACAACACCACAATTTATGTTTTCCTGTTGATATTACTCTCAGTTACCTTCTTCAGAATACAATGATATTGGAAAAGTGTTGTGGGGTGTAATGATTTAACGCTAGATCTACCAGCTTGTTTTACTGTTTCATATATATTACATACTTCCAGCAGTCCCTTACTGTGATTGTACTATTTAAACTAACACATTACAGCCAATAGGAGAAGGTAACAGTCAGTCAGCACAACACCTCAACTTATGTTTTCCTGTTGGATATTATTCTGTTACCTTCTTCAGAATGCGATGATATTAGAAATGTGATGGAGGGTGTATTTATTTAGCAATGCATCAACCATAGTTCAAAATAGCGCAAAAACTACTGCACCCAAAGGCCCTACAGGTCTGGCGCTCTCAGGGGCCCTCCTAGGGGAAACGGCGCCAACAGGGGCCTTTGCAGGGGCGCCGACGCCTCATTGGACCTTCTTAGGGGTCGCGGCGCCTCCAGGGACCCTTCCACGAGCGGCGGCTCCCCTAGCACCTTTCCACTGGTGTCGATGCAATCAGTGACCGATCCTTTGACGATGGGGCACCGAGAGACCCTCACAGGGGCAGCAGCCCCCCTAGATATCTTTCGAGGAGCGACGATGTTCCCAGGAATCCACCCAGGGACGGCGGCGACCCCAGCAACCTCCAAGGGGCGCCGGCATCGCAAGGAGCCCTCTCTGGGGCCGGCGCTGCCCCAGGGACTCTGCCATGGGTGGTGGCGGTCTCAGGAACCCATTCAGGGGCTCCGGGGCCCCAAGGGGCAGTGGAGCCCCCAGGGACCTTCCCAGGGATAATGGTGCCCCCAGAGAGAACCCAGTGATAGAAACGTCCCCAGCGACCTTCCCAGGTACCCTTTCAAGTGCGGTGGGGCTCCCAGGGGATCTCCCATTGGTACTTATGGACTCACGGCCCCTTACAGGGGCGGCGACGTCCCCAGGGACCCTCCCAAGGGCGGTTACGTCCTAGGGGCCCTCGTAAAGGCGACGACGCCCCCAGGGACTTTGCCAAGGGTCCCCAAAGGCCCAATGACATGCTTGTTTGCTGTCTCAAATATATTACATACTTCCAGCAGTCCCTTACTGAACTGTGATTGGTGAACTATTTTTTTAAGCCTCCAAATTACAGCCAATAGGAGAAGAGAACAGTCAGTCAGCACAACACCTCAACTTATGTTTTCCTGTTGGATATTATTCTCTGTTACCTTCTTCAGAATACGAGAATATTGGAAATGTGATGGAGGGTGTATTTATTTAGCGTTGCATCAACCATAGTTCAAAATAGCACAAATCTACTGCACCCAGGGGCCCTACAGGTCTGGCTCTCTCAGGGGACCTCCTAGGGGCAACTGCGCCAACAGGGGCCAATGAAGGGGCACCGACGCCTCACTGGACCTTCTCAGGGGTCGCGGCATCACCAGGGACCCTCCCAAGGGCGGTTACGTCCCAGGGGCCTTCATAACGGTGGCGGCGACCTCAGGGGTCCTCTCAGGGGTGTCGTTCCCCCAGGGACTCTGCCAAGGGTCCCCAAAGGCCCAATGACATGCTTGTTTGCTGTCTCAAATATATTACATACTTCCACCAGTTCCTTACTAAACTGTAATTGGTGGACTTTTCTTTTAACGCACCAAATTACAGCCAATAGGAGAAGAGAACAGTCAGTCAGCTCAACACCTTAACTTATGTTTTCCTGTTGAATATTATTTTCTGTTTCCTTCTTCAGAATGCAATGATATTGGAAAAGTGTTGGGGGGTGTATGTATTTAACATTGCATCTGGCAGCTTGTTTCGCTGTCTCATATATATTACATACTTACAGCAGTCCCTTACTGAACTGTGATTGGTGAACTATTTTTTTAAACCTCCAAATTACAGCCAATAGGAGAAGAGAACAGTCAGTCAGCTCAACACCTCAACTTATGTTTTCCTGTTGAATATTATTTTCTGTTTCCTTCTTCAGAATGCAATGATATTGGAAAAGTGTTGGGGCGTGTATGTATTTAACATTGCATCTGGCAGCTTGTTTCGCTGTCTCATATATATTACATACTTACAGCAGTCCCTTACTGAACTGTGATTGGTGAACTATTTTTTTAAACCTCCAAATTACAGCCAATAGGAGAAGAGAACAGTCAGTCAGCACAACACCTCAACTTATGTTTTCCTGTTGGATATTATTCTCTGTTACCTTCTTCAGATTGCGATGATATTGGAAATGTGATGGAGGATGTATTTATTTAGCGTTGCATCAACCATAGTTCAAAATAGCGCAAAAACTACTGCACCCAGGGGCCCTACAGGTCTGGCTCTCCCAGGAGCTCTCCTAGGGGGAACGGCGCCTACAGGGGCCAATGCAGGGGCTCTGACGCCTCATTGGACCTTCTCAGCGGTCGCGGCGTCTCCGGGGACCCTTCCAGGGGGGGGCGGCAACCCTAGCACCTTCCCAGGGGTGTCGGCGCACTCAGTGACCAATCGTTGGACGGTGGGGCGCCAAGGGACCCTCACAGGGGCGGCACCGCCCCCAGACATCTTACGAGGGGCAACGACGGTCCCATGGATTCACCCAGGGACGGCAGCAATTCCGGGGAGAGTCGCTGGTGCCCCAAGGAGCCCTCTCTGGGGTAGGAACAGCCCCCAGGGACTCTCCCATGGGTGGTGGCGGTCCCAAATACCCATTCAGGAGCTCTGGGGCCCCAAGGGGCGGTGGAGCCCCTAGGGACCTTCCCAGGGATAATGACGCCCCCGCAGACACTCCCAGTTATAGAAGCTTCCCCAGGGACCTTCCCAGGGACCCTTTCAAGTGATGTTGGGCTCCCAGGGGATCTCCCATTGGTACTTACGGCCTCACGGCCCTTTCCAGGGGCGGCGACGTCCCCAGGGATCCTCCCAAGGGCGGTTACGTCCCAGGGGCCCTCGCAATGGCGGCGGCGCCCCCAGGACTCTGCCAAGGGTCCCCAAAGGCCCTATGACATGCGTGTTCGCTGTCTTAAATATATTTCATACTTCCACCAGTCCCTTACTGAATTGTGATTGGTGGACTTTTCTCTTAACCCACCAAATAACAACCAATAGGAGAAGAGAACAGTCAGTCAGCACAACACCACAATTTATGTTTTCCTGTTGGATATTATTCTCAGTTACCTTCTTCAGAATACAATGATATTGGAAAAGTGTTGGGGGGTGTACGTATTTAACGTTGCATCTACCAGCTTGTTTTACTGTTTCATATATATTACATACTTCCAGCAGTCCCTTACTGAACTGTGATTGGTGGATTATTTTTTTAAACCACCAAATTACAGCCAATAGGAGAAGGTAACAGTCAGTCAGCACAACACCTCAACTTATGTTTTCCTGTTGGATATTATTCTGTTACCTTCTTCAGATTGCGATGATATTAGAAATGTGATGGAGGGTGTATTTATTTAGCAATGCATCAACCATAGTTCAAAATAGCGCAAAAACTACTGCACCCAAAGGCCCTACAGGTCTGGCGCTCTCAGGGGCCCTCCTAGGGGAAACGGCGCCAACAGGGGCCTTTGCAGGGGCGCCGACGCCTCATTGGACCTTCTTAGGGGTCGCGGCGCCTCCAGGGACCCTTCCACGAGCGGCGGCACCCCTAGCACCTTTCCACTGGTGTCGATGCAATCAGTGACCGATCCTTTGACGATGGGGCACCGAGGGACCCTCACAGGGGCAGCAGCCCCCCTAGATATCTTTCGAGGAGCGACGACGTTCCCAGGAATCCACCCAGGGACGGCGGCGACCCCAGCAACCTCCAAGGGGCGCCGGCATCGCAAGGAGCCCTCTCTGGGGCCGGCGCTGCCCCAGGGACTCTGCCATGGGTGGTGGCGGTCTCAGGAACCCATTCAGGGGCTCCGGGGCCCCAAGGGGCAGTGGAGCCCCCAGGGACCTTCCCAGGGATAATGGTGCCCCCAGAGAGAACCCAGTGATAGAAACGTCCCCAGCGACCTTCCCAGGGACCCTTTCCAGTGCGGTGGGGCTCCCAGGGGATCTCCCATTGGTACTTATGGCCTCACGGCCCCTTACAGGGGCGGCGACGTCCCCAGGGACCCTCCCAAGGGTGGTTACGTCCTAGGGGCCCTCGTAAAGGCGACGACGCCCCCAGGGTCCTCTCAGGGGTGTCGTTCCCCCAGGGACTCTGACAAGGGTCCCCAAAGGCCCAATGACATGCTTGTTTGCTGTCTCAAATATATTACATACTTCCAGCAGTCCCTTACTGAACTGTGATTGGTGAACTATTTTTTTAAGCCTCCAAATTACAGCCAATAGGAGAAGAGAACAGTCAGTCAGCACAACACCTCAACTTATGTTTTCCTGTTGGATATTATTCTCTGTTACCTTCTTCAGAATACGAGAATATTGGAAATGTGATGGAGGGTGTATTTATTTAGCGTTGCATCAACCATAGTTCAAAATAGCACAAATCTACTGCACCCAGGGGCCCTACAGGTCTGGCTCTCTCAGGGGACCTCCTAGGGGCAACAGCGCCAACAGGGGCCAATGCAGGGGCACCGACGCCTCACTGGACCTTCTCAGGGGTCGCGGCATCACCAGGGACCCTCCCAAGGGCGGTTACGTCCCAGGGGCCTTCATAACGGTGGCGGCGACCTCAGGGGTCCTCTCAGGGGTGTCGTTCCCCCAGGGACTCTGCCAAGGGTCCCCAAAGGCCCAATGACATGCTTGTTTGCTGTCTCAAATATATTACATACTTCCACCAGTTCCTTACTAAACTGTAATTGGTGGACTTTTCTTTTAACGCACCAAATTACAGCCAATAGGAGAAGAGAACAGTCAGTCAGCTCAACACCTCAACTTATGTTTTCCTGTTGAATATTATTTTCTGTTTCCTTCTTCAGAATGCAATGATATTGGAAAAGTGTTGGGGGGTGTATATATTTAACGTTGCATCTGGCAGCTTGTTTCGCTGTCTCATATATATTACATACTTACAGCAGTCCCTTACTGAACTGTGATTGGTGAACTATTTTTTTAAACCTCCAAATTACAGCCAATAGGAGAAGAGAACAGTCAGTCAGCTCAACACCTCAACTTATGTTTTCCTGTTGAATATTATTTTCTGTTTCCTTCTTCAGAATGCAATGATATTGGAAAAGTGTTGGGGCGTGTATGTATTTAACATTGCATCTGGCAGCTTGTTTCGCTGTCTCATATATATTACATACTTACAGCAGTCCCTTACTGAACTGTGATTGGTGAACTATTTTTTTAAACCTCCAAATTACAGCCAATAGGAGAAGAGAACAGTCAGTCAGCACAACACCTCAACTTATGTTTTCCTGTTGGATATTATTCTCTGTTACCTTCTTCAGATTGCGATGATATTGGAAATGTGATAGAGGATGTATTTATTTAGCGTTGCATCAACCATAGTTCAAAATAGCACAAATCTACTGCACGCAGGGGCCCTACAGGTCTGACGCTCTCAGGGGCCCTCCTAGGGGCAACGGGGCCAACAGGGGCCAATGCAGGGGCACCGACGCCTCTTTGTACCTTCTCAGGTTCGCGGCGCCTCCAAGGACCCTTCCATGAGTGGCGGCACCACTAGCACCTTTCCAGGGGTGTCGATGCACTCAGTGACCGATCCTTGGACGGTGCGGCACCGAGGGACCCTCACAGAGGCGGCAGTATCCCCATATATCTTACGAGGGGCGTCGACGCTCCCAGGGATCCACCCAGGGACGGCGAAGACCCCAGCAACCCTCCAGGGGGCGCCGGCGTCGCAAGGAGCCCTCTCTGCGGGCGGCGCTGCCCCC